CGCCGCCGCCGGCGGACCACCTCCAAACACCTCCAAATTCACACCACGTAATCTCTACAACTTTCTCTTTCCATATCTCCAAACCGAATCCTAAAAAAATCCCTCAAACTCCTTGAATCTTAGATCTAGGAAACTTTCCCGTCACTTTTTTGCCCAAATTCTTGAAGCTCCAACCACTACCACCCCAAAATACCTACATCAATGGATAGAGCTCCTCAAGACCTAGCTATTTATGTCAATTCTACCCCAAAAATCCGGCGACCAAAATCCGGCCTAATTCCAGCGACCTCCCGGAACACCCCCTTTGGCATACCACCATTTTTCGGCCTTTTGATGTGTAAAATGGTAAAATACTATTCTTTTTCATGGCTGATTTTTTTATTTTTATTTTTATTTTTCAGATTTTATTTTTGTCTATTATTAATTATTTAGCATTAGTTTTTGAAGTTTGAAATGTTAAATTTTCTTTTTTGCACTTGTTGAAGTAGTAAAATAGTTTTGTATTGATAAAAGTGAGGTAATGAAAAATACTTAAGAGTATATGGTACTTGTTTGGTTGTTTGTTTACTGCTTCTAGACTCTTTGAGTACAACACTCAAAAGTCAAATTGTTTGGTAAGAAAATGTAGACCTTTGGACATTATTTGAATAAAGTCTATCTTTGAATAGTGGAGAGCAGATTTGTTTGAAATCCTTGACAAGATTTGAACTAGAAAGTCTTATTTTTTGAATTTAAGCGCAAATTTTGTAGAAAAATATGTCAAACAGATTATTTTTAATTTTTTGAAATAGCTGGTTGTTTTGATATATAGAGGGGACTCCATCACACTTCCATGGGTTATTTTTTTTTAATTGCTTTGTCACAAAAACAAAAAAAAAATTCAGCAGTTGAACACATGAAAAGTAAGCTGAAATGGTGAGTTTTGGGAGTGAATCTTAGAGTGCAAACTTTTAAAAAAGTATAAGTCCTCTTTAGAGTTCATTTATGAGTTCCCTCTCTAAGTTTTCGGGTTGTTTTAACACGGATTTGCTGCTGGTTTTGCTGCTGTTTTGCTGCTATTTTTATGCTGCTTTAGTTGCTGAACTACTGTTTATTCTTTTGCTACCAGGTAATCCTTTAAGACTCGTAATGTACGTATTTTCAGCAATGAGAACAACTTGAACATGCTGCACCATTTAAATGTGTTTGATGTGATGAATAGTTTGACAACAAAAGAGCTTGTATGTTATTNTCTGTCATGACTGCGGATTCGCTTGCGTAGCGCCGTTATGACTAAATAATAAATTTCGCCGATCACGCATTCACTTGCGTAGTGTGGTTATGACATCTTATTATTAAAAAATATTCTTTAATTTTTTCTAATAATCAAGAGATAAAAGAGGATAGGTAAAACATGAAAATAATATAAATCACAGTTTGTCCAAAATTAATTCAAGCCAAGTTTAAATGAATAAAGCGACCGTGCTAGAACCACGGGACTCGGGGAATGCCTTATACCTTCTCCCCGGTCAACAAAATTCCTTACCCGAACTTTGTTTTCACGGACCGATTAAAATAGAGTCAAACCTTCCTTTGACTAGGGATCCAAATAAATGGTGACTTGGAACACCGAAAAAATCAATTCTAAGTGGCGACTCTGAACAATAAAATAATCCCTATTCAAATTTTGTCACTTTAATTGGAAAAACTCTTTGGCCCATACACATATTATTATTATTTTGAGGGGTAGAAAAGGGGTGTGACAGGTTTTACAAATAAATTGTACAAAATTGTAATTATTATAGGTGTTTCATCATTAAACTCTCTCCAACTTAATTTATTTTTATTTCACCAAGTATCTTTTGTTTACTAAATATGATGGTGATGCTAAAAAAAATATTAAGTGAAAAAGCAAAAGAATAAATAAAAGAAACATAAATTTGACTACCACTATTGGTATCTTTCCCAAATCTTGAGTATTGTTCGATATTTTCTTATCAGTATTTAGTGCAGGGACACATTAATTTTTTCATATATAAAAATTAGTTATCTTTAAAAGAATAAGAATACTACACAACTCGCTTTTTTTTTTCTCCATTAAGATGCATACGTGAAATTAATCTTTAAAAGAGAATTTATGTGAACAAGAAAATTAAATTACCTCAAGAAGGATTGATGTTTCGTGCATGCGGCAGTAGTTGATGAAAACCTATAATTAAACCGTACAACAAAAAAATATAGCAAAGATATTATAATTGAATCAAGCGTGGAACATGAAATTTTCACCCATAATCCCAACAAATTAGCCCTTTATTGCCCCGCTCAAAAAGCACCACATAACTATACAAAGAAAAATACCCATAATAATAAATAAAAAACCCCAATAAAACCCTAGCCCTCATAACCCAAATACAACCATTATTAATTATTATGCGCATAGCAATAAAAAAAAACTAAAAATAGCAAGAAGGAAAGGATACAACAAAAGCAAGACGGCATGCTGGCATAACTTATTCTCAGTTGAGATAGATATATGGAATTAAGCTTAGAGAGACAATTCTTATAATAAATAAAATTATATTAACGCATAAAAGAATGATATCGTGCGAGTCGCAAAGCAATGAGGCAACAATGCAACGTGTCCAGTGTTCCTTTATGTAGGTATTCTTGACTTCTTTGTCTGTGTAAAATTTTTATGACGATAGGAGTTCAAGATTAGGCAGGAACATATTGTTGTCCAAAAAGAGAAGGCTTCTATACGTAACATTTATTGTCCAAGAAGAAGTAGGCTACTATCCTTTAAACCAAACATAGTGACTGTCAGGACTAATCCAAAACGATAAAGTCTCAAAGAATTTGATCCAGAAACAACTTTGTAGGCTTGAAGTATGTGTAGTTTAAATCGGAAACGAATTCCAATACTCTTAAGTGATTTACAATTATATTCTTAAATTATATCAATAACTAAGGCTATAAAAGTCGATCAATATTTTGGGGATATTTTAATCGTTCAACATTTAACATAAATTAGTCGTGCTTTTGTAATATATATAATCTGATGATGCGATATTAAATGACACCACTTGACATAAATAATAAGAAACAATAATATAAGAAGTCTTTTGGTAAGATGTATCTCTATATGGAGTATATAGTAAGAGAGAGTCAAAGTGCAACTATTACACTAAAATGTCAGGCTTAAGAAGTTCAACCTAGTTTTACTGACTAAGCTCCAGCTCCAGCGCCAGCTCCATTCATTTACTTACTTCGCTAATACAAGTCAAGATCAAAGGCGATGATGAGGTAGGAAAAGAGAGAAATTCATGGCTTATTTTAATTTACTCAGCTTCCGTCACATATTATTTGTCGTGTTTCTCTTTTACATGTCTCTTAAGAAAATAATAAATATGAAAGGTTTTTGACCATTTTACCCTTATTTATGTCTTAAAATATAATTTCTCTTCATTTATTACTTACTTATAGTTAAGGTGTTTGTAGTCTTCAAGAAAAATTAATATTAAGGGTAGAATATGAAAAAAAATATTAATTTACTCTTGAACTTCTAAAACGACAAATAATTTGAGGCAACTATTTTTAGAAACCACAATAGTTAATATAAGACGAGAAGAGTATAAATATACAGCTGAAATGCAAAGTACATTGATATAGTTTTCAGGACAATTAAACCTCATTTATTTGCACTTAACGAAGATCTAACTTTTAATTATTCAGATCTCAGTTATTAAATATATTTATTTTTTAATTTTACAATTATTTAATGGTTCTAAATAACTAGACAAGCATCGATGAGGTCACAGACGGTGCAACAACATCATTGGAATCTGATAATAAAGACTTATTTAGATGACCAGACCGTTAAGGTCGTCTGAACTAAAACATCTAATGGGTTACTGACTCAAATATTAAAAAAATAGGTTTTACATTCTTATTACTTGCTTCTGATATGTAATTCAAAGTGGTTCATGAGACAACCATCTTTGAAACATGGTAAAGCACTCTTTAGGCTTGTACTCAGGAGCTACATGTCCTGCTCCCTGTCCAAACACAAAGTTAACAAGGTAGAATCAAAATATTATATTCCAAATGTCCTTTACGGGTGTGTTTGGTATGAAAGGAAACATTTTTCAATTTTTTTTATGTTTGGTTGGGTTAAATATTTTCTTTACGGAGGAAAATGACTTCCCTACTGAAAAGAGGAAAAATATTTTTCAAAACTCTTTGTTAACCTTCGCCACCCCATCCTAACCCCACCCCACCCCACCCACA